AAAAAAAAAAAAAAAAAAAAAAAAAAAAAAAAACTAAACAAGAAAGAAAACAGATGGTGAAAAGACACTAAGGTGGAAATGGAAAGAAGAAAAAGAGTGTCATTTAGATATTAGTAGTTTGATTTAGTCTATTTTAAACTATGATAGACTAGACTGTTCTACTTCTGAAACAATGAAGTAAATCAAAATAATTTGCGCTTATCAAAAAAAAATTTTTTTTGGTAGAATTTGTAAACTAGTAAGGGAGCCAGATTCATTTTTATTTCAGTAATCTGATTACTTCAATTCTGTGTTTTATAAAGCTCAGATAAAAAGTTTCGATTAATATTAATTGTGTTCCTGTAACAGCCTCCTATTTGTTTTGAAAAAAATAAGTTTAAAAAGTAGAAAAAAAAAGCAGAATCTAAAATTACTTTTGAAAAATGAACTGGAAACGAACATTTTTCAGCGTTTTCTTTAATTCAGCCATTCCTTCGTTAGTGTTACAGATTGCAAATGTTAGCGTTTGTAGTTCGACAAATTTTTTGACAGCTTTTGTACCCAACAGTGTATCGGCGTTGGTAACCAAAACAAGCGGTATCGACGACTGTTTATTGCCTGATCTTGGTCGTCCATATTTTGACAGATATCTGTAATTGACCTTGATTTATCATTAAGAACATTTGAGAAACTGTTTAGTTAGACTGCCAAACTATTAACTACTGCTTAGCATTGCATAAGGAGAACACGTTGACGTTTAACAGTCAAATTTTTTTAATAACGTATTGACTTTTTTTAAAAAAATCAAAAAAAAAACGGTTTATATAAGACGATTAACAAATTTTAAATAAATTTTACCGAATAATATACTGGAGGAAATAGAGAAATGATGCTGTTGGAAGTCCAACAGTTATAATTTGTGTTACTGTTGACGACTGTTGAACGGTTACGTTTTCTACAAACGACTAAAAAAAAACTCATATCTTTTTTGCAGATACTAAATGTTCAATTGGTCACTATTTTAATTGGTCACTACAAGTAAAAAAAAGAAATTGAATTGTCATTTTTTTTTTTTTGATGCACCAAAAATAGCGAAAAACAGCAGTATTAAAAAAAAATAATCTTCGTAGAACAATAAAATAGATATACTCTTTGAGGTGGTGTATCAGTTGGACAGTGTTTTGGAGCGCACATACGGTGTAAAGGAAATAAGACAAAATCGATCTGATTTCAAAATTTGTTTTTAACGATTGTGGCAAATGATGAGAACCGGTTTTTTTTTCTTATTTTTTTCCTCTCTTTTTTTTTTTTTCTTTTTTGGTTCTCCCAATGATTAGACTGTTTTTTGAGTGGAAGTATAAGGTGTTGATGAAACGTCAGCAAAATTTATACTAACAGTTAGCCATAAATGCCATTGAAACTAATGGTCAAGTGAACTTTTGAAATAACGACTACAAATTCTAGAGCAAAACGGTGATAAAATATATTTTGACACATTATAATGTACCTTAAAATTTGTGAACCATTCTTATAAATTTACAAACTGTTTTTGTTAATTTTTTTTTTTGATGCTAACACTTGTCCTAAACAAATAAATCAAGATTGTT